AACAAGTTTATTATTAGTTTAGGATTGATTTATATTTGAATTTAGATTTAACAATAACTATTAGAAATGGCGAGCTGGCTTTCGTGCTCTCCATTATGTCAAATAAACAGATGGTAACTCCCATTCTAGAAACTAACGTGAAAAGCCTGTATGTTTTGGATGCACTCAGCAGCCAAACAGCCACAAAGTGAGTGATTAATTTTATTTGGGGAAATTGTTGGACAAGACACTGGGAAAGAGAAATTCCCTTCTCTTTTCAAATAGCCAGGCGATCTTTAGATTAGCAGCTCATTCACCCCAGATGCTCTCTCAGTCAGCAAGAACAACAAACAACTTACATTTAAATGGCAACTTTCACTTTTCTGGAGCTCGTCTCAAAGATTCCACAGAGTCGACCGGGAACCCGAACTGGGGGGACGGGTGACCAAAGGATTACCGCAGTCAAATTTTTGGGGGAATGTGGTATCCTCTGCCACAGTCAGTTGTTGGGATAGCAACTTTGCGCACATTCACAAAAAGACTGAACACACGGTTAAGAGACAATAAAGTTGAGAAACATGGGGGAAAAGCCAAGATTTGGGACTAGGGATAGAACCTGGGATAGGCATTCATGTGGAGCATAAACACCAGCTGAACCGGATGGGCCGAATGCCTGTTTCTATAAATCTAAAAAGAATAGTCTTCAGTTGGTGACCATATTTTGTAAACTAAATCCGCAGACATATTTTAAAAAATGACCTCACCACAATTCCTGATGCTGGCAATATGAGGAAGCTTGTTGGATTAATGGTTGTGTTTCTCTCTATTTTAGAATGTTATTGTTCTTGCCTAATCTGTTGCTGAATTTAAGACGAGGCAATTTGACCAGGAACACAATACCTCAATCAGGACTGTCCACGGAAATCGATGACACATGGTCACCCTATCTTAAGGTAAGTGTTAAAGATGGGGAGGGGGTGAGTCGGAGGGACTCTGGGATGGAGTTCCAGAGAGCACTGGCAGAATGGCTGAAAGTTTGCCCACTGATGGTGGGGCATATCAGTCAGAGGACATGAAGCACGTCAGTGTTCGATGAGCAAATGGAGCAGCCTGGTGGGATAGGTTGTAGGAGGTCACAGAGGTAGGGTGGGTTGAGACCACAATAAATAATCCTTGCATTTGATATAGGGCCTTATCACATCGTTGATATGTCTCACAGCGCTTCACAGAATATACTGCAAAGTGTAGTGACTGTGTATTTTGTGGGCGAAAATTTCTTTAGTTTTAAAAACCATGGAGGATTTTAACAGTGAGAATGAAGATCATGAACTCGATGTGTTGGGGAGTCAGTTGAGAAAAGGGTAGGAGACGCTTATGAAATCTGTATTGTTGATATAGGTATGGTGAGAAAACAAGAAAACAATTTTGATGTTAACCTATCTATAGTTACAGATAATAATTTATGTAATTATACAATGTAATTTAATTATAGGGTTTTCTTATTTAATAATATGTAAATATCTATTATAGTCTTTATAATAGACTATAATAATAAAAACATAATAATACATCTCAAAGCGCTTCACAGAATGTATTGTAAAGTGAATTGAATGTATATTTTGTGGGCAAAACATGGCAGGCAATTGCACACAGCATGTCCCATAAAAAGTCATGGATTGAAGTGACCAATTTATTATTTTTTTTGAAGGAATTATTACCTCCACAAAAGCAATCCACCAACCGACTAACAACAGGGTTCCTATTTACTGCTAGGTTAACAGAGGCATTGGAGTAAGGAAACTTGCCCAACATTTGCCAGGAATAGAACCCAGGTCTCTCGCTTACAAGGCAAGTGCTCTATCCTCTGAACTACAGGACAAGTTATTTGTTAAACAAGATAGTCGTCTCTGTTCCTGGGTCTTGACCAAAATCTTTATAAATTATCGTGCACAGTGGTTTCAGGTTCAACACTGATGCTTGAGAGGACATGAGCTGCAGATAGTCTGCAGCTTATGTAGTGATGACCTGGGAATCTGGCGAGCAGAGGTTTGGCATATCGAACCTGGATGTGATGGTGGTCTCTGGCTGTTTAGGCTCCTGCGGAAATACAGCGTGGATTACAATAAGCAAGAGAGGAAAGCAGTTAATTGAGGGGAAGCTGTTCTTGGACACAAGGTGGAGTTTTAAAAGCTTGTAGAGTGAAGGAGGAAGAGATAACTGAGGGGGCGTTAAGAATTACTCTGGCTCAAGATCCTGGGAAAGCATGAGTTTGAGCAGAAAGGTCAAAAAAGAGTGACCTGAAACGACTTAATGCAATTTTAGTTTACAAACACATGGGAATATTCCATTTCCAAACAATAATATGTCCCCTGATCAGCACAGATCCAAAGGAGCCCCAGCTGAGTGGTTCCCTGACTGAAATACTCTCCATCGGTTGGCGTGTGACCGTATCAAGGCCCTGGCAGAACAAACATAGGCAGAATCCCAAAAATATGGAATAAGATTTAGTGAAACTCAATCAATGTCGGGAGCAGCATCCATCATTACAAACATAGTCTACAAACATCCAGCATTATATCAACCTTGATAACTAATGATATTTCAGCTCATGAACTCACAACTTAATCTATAAAGTTAGTGTTCACTATACAAGGGCACATTCTCCTGCACCTTTTCTGTCTCGTGCTTAAAAATCTTCCATTGCTGCTCAACACCCCATGGGATTAAGGGAACAGTAGCAGCATGGATCCAAGATTGGCTGGGAGACAGAAAGCAGAGAGCCGTAGTGAAAGGTTGTTTTTCAGACAGGAAAGAGTTATATAATGGTGTCCCTCAAGGGCTGGTATTGGGATCACTGCTATTTTTAATATATACTAATGGCCTGGACTTGGATATGGAGAGCCAAATTTTAAAGTTTACAGATGACTCAAACTTGGAAACGTAGTAAACAGTGAGTTGGATAGTAACAGACTGCAGGAGGTATCCAGACATATACAGTACAAGCAGTGTAATAGACCTTCCCTGTCTTCTTGTTATTTTTCCCATTTTTTTTTAAAAACACATTTTTCCCCCTGCAATTCTGCTCACCTCCTCTCTCCTCTGCAAATTACAATGTTTTATCAACCCCAAATTCCGCTTTGATATACTGTAAAGTGGTGCAATTGTATTTTGTGACTGAATGTGATGGCCAATTTGAGCAATGTCCACAAACAGCCATGAAGTGAGCGACTAATTTTATTTCAGGGGATTGTTGGCCAGGACACCAGGAGAGAGAAACTCTCTTCTTTTTTCGAATGATGTCATGAGATCTTTAACGTCCACCTGAACAGCAAACAGTGAGTATGGGCTCTGCGTGTGACACAAAGCACCTCGTCAGCAAAGACTTCAAGTTCCAAGTCCCAAGATGGGGCTTCAACTTACAACCTCTGACTCAGGTGAGAGTTAACATTCAGCTGAACAGACAGCTGGAAACATAATTTATTGTCAAAATACAGCCCCTCCAACCTGGACTGTGAGCTCCTGCCTTCGTGTGCAACTCAAACACACAGCTTTCTGACCCAGAAATACAATGCAAAATTACATTTATATAGTGGCTAAGAGGGCAACCAAAAGAGGTACATTTATTGAGGTATCTTACTTTATGTATTAAATAGAACAACAAATTACATTTTTATAGTGCCCTTCATGTTGGGAGAAATAAATAGTATGCACTAATACTGCATTCAGCACATCTGAATTTGACAAACTGTATGGCATGCAACACAGACACGCAATCGGTCGTTACATACAGCAGACGCACGCAATCCGTCGTTACATACAGCAGACGCACGCAATCCGTCGTTACATACAGCAGACGCACGCAATCCGTCGTTACATACAGCAGACGCACGCAATCCGTCGTTACATACAGCAGACGCACGCAATCGTCGTTACATACAGCAGACGCACGCAATCCGTCGTTACATACAGCAGACGCACGCAATCCGTCGTTACATACAGCAGACGCACGCAATCCGTCGTTACATACAGCAGACGCACGCAATCCGTCGTTACATACAGCAGACGCACGCAATCCGTCGTTACATACAGCAGACGCACGCAATCCGTCGTTACATACAGCAGACGCACGCAATCCGTCGTTACATACAGCAGACGCACGCAATCCGTCGTTACATACAGCAGACGCACGCAATCCGTCGTTACATACAGCAGACGCACGCAATCCGTCGTTACATACAGCAGACGCACGCAATCCGTCGTTACATACAGCAGACGCACGCAATCCGTCGTTACATACAGCAGACGCACGCAATCCGTCGTTACATACAGCAGACGCACGCAATCCGTCGTTACATACAGCAGACGCACGCAATCCGTCGTTACATACAGCAGACGCACGCAATCCGTCGTTACATACAGCAGACGCACGCAATCCGTCGTTACATACAGCAGACGCACGCAATCCGTCGTTACATACAGCAGACGCACGCAATCCGTCGTTACATACAGCAGACGCACGCAATCCGTCGTTACATACAGCAGACGCACGCAATCCGTCGTTACATACAGCAGACGCACGCAATCCGTCGTTACATACAGCAGACGCACGCAATCCGTCGTTACATACAGCAGACGCACGCAATCCGTCGTTACATACAGCAGACGCACGCAATCGGTCGTTACATACAGCAGACGCACGCAATCCGTCGTTACATACAGCAGACGCACGCAATCCGTCGTTACATACAGCAGACGCACGCAATCCGTCGTTACATACAGCAGACGCACGCAATCCGTCGTTACATACAGCAGACGCACGCAATCCGTCGTTACATACAGCAGACGCACGCAATCAGTCATTACATACAGCAGACGCACGCAATCAGTCATTATATACAACACACACACACACACACAATTAGTCATTATAGACAGCAAACACACACAATCAGTCATTATATACAGCACATACACACAATCAGTCTGTTTCTATGGCTATAGAAGAACCGTAAAAGACACTGTATAATAAATACATTTTAATAAACATCTCCATGCTGTTTTCTACAGGATCAATAACACATTGCACTTCATTAATCTACAAAGCATATTTACAATCTGAGGCTGGCCCAGGAAGCTGCTACAGACCCACATGGATTCCCGGAATATGGCTCCAGCCGCCTTTCAGACCCTGCAGGAAATTCACGTGATGTTATAAAGTGTCAAGTTCAATTCATTGTAACATTTAAGAGAAATGTTGTAAAATGATCTGCAAGAGCTGCTTTTACCTGCCCCATACTTCTGTGCTCAGGAGAAGACATAGTAGACCACGATGGCGCAGCCCAATATCCAGCCCGCCAACACCAGAGTGGGAACCACAAAACGCTCCTCTGGAAACACAGCGGCAAAGAGGAATGAAACAACAACACATTACATTTGTATAGCACCTTTCGCATTGAGAGGACATCCCAAATTGTGAATTAAAGGGAATGTTTTTGGTTCTAAATCATTAAGTCTGCAATCATTGGCCTCCTAAAAGTGCATACTCCTTGATTAGTCAATAATAAAACATGAACAACAGAATTAATGAGCAATCTTAAAAATCCAATTCCATTATTTATCAGAAATCCAGAGAACCACAGTGCCCAGTTTGATATCAGCATTATGATATCTAGGAAGCACTTGGTCAAAAATAACACTGATCATTGACTCAGCAGCTTTTGAATTAGGTTGATATGCATATTAAACCTAAAGATAAACTGTTATAATTAGATTATTTTACAAATATCAATGAACAAACTACAAGAAGTTTGTGAATCTCTTTGTTATGTGTAAAGATTGAATATCAGAGGAGGAAAGGAATGTGCCTAGTGTCTCACACAGAGCCCATCCATACTCACGGAAATAATCCATTGTCAAACACCATCTACATGAAGCTCTCAACCTTGTCTAGCTCTCTTCCAGCCCTCTGCCCAAACTGATTTAAATACAATCACTCCGCTCATTGACAAATGCTAAACAGCCACCTGACCAGCTGTTTGCTTTTTTTTAAATGAGCAAGATTAGGTCTGCTCACTCCCATTAGTTGAATTCGACCGAAAACATTCCTGACCAGCTGTTTGCTGTAACTCTCTCCGTCACAGTCAACAGGTTCATTACATACCATTGGACACTTTACACATCACTCACTTTACACGTTACCTATCACATTGGACTCCCGTGGCGTAGTTGTTAGCGTGCTCACCTCGAAAGTGAGAGGACCTGAGTTCCATTCCCAGCCAGGGTGAAACTGGCTGGGAATGGAAGTTTCCCTACTCCACGTATCTCTGGGCAAGTTTCCCTACTCCACACATCTCTGGGCAAGTTTCCCTACTCCACACATCTCTGTTTACCTAGCAGTAAGTAGGAATCTGGTTGTCAGTCGATTGTTAGGATCACTTTCTGGGGGTAATAATCACTCAAAAATAAATAAAATAAAAATTGTGCTCACTGAATCCATGACTGTTTACAGGATGCTGCTGTGTGCATTTGGCTGCCATGTTTCACTTGCAAAATACACAGTCAATCTACTTTAGAATATATTCTGTGAAGTGCTTGAGACGTCTCAACAAAGTGATAAGATGCTATCTATTATGAGGAACAGGAAGGGTCCCTGTTCAGACCCCTGATATCTGTACCTCAATACCTCTCCCCATTGTGACTTGGATCCCCTTGGCTCCTTCTGCCTCCTTCCCTTCAGCCCAATCTGAACACACGTCCATGTCATGTCCTTGATACTCGGTGAACTCAGTTTGTGGAAGAGGCTTTCATTGGGACTTTGTCAAATATATCTTCCAAGTCTAAATACAATACATCATATGGCTTCCCACAGTCAATTTGGGCCAAAATATGTCTTGGAGCAGCACTCTGAAATACTATCCTGTGTGAAGGGCACTATATAAATGAAAGTTATTGTTGTTTGAGGTTGGTCAGTTAAGACCTATCCTTTCTGAACTCATGTTGTGGCTGTTAATTATTGAATTATTTTTATATAAGTAATCTTCCACTTCCTTTCTGAATGGTTGACTCTTCCTTATTCCCTATCATTGAGTTCAGGGTAACGTGGATATAGTTCCAGGATTGGTTCTGACACCTTCTTAAATATGGGATCATTTGCTGCTTCCATTCCATTGGTCCAGTCAGTCCTGTCTTAAATAGCTACCAAATTACTCCAGTAAATGTACAATCACATATAGTGAGAACAAACAGAAATTTGTATAAATTCAAACACCTACTATAATAAAAGGACTCCACATCCACTATAAATATTGGAAGCATGCACATGCACCAATGGATACATCAGCCAAATTTCGTATCTCATTTCAGTTTTATGTGAAATTTTACTCCTAGAACCTTAACACGTTACAGCAGAGACCACACCTTCCGTTTCCCCCACACCCCTGCAAATTACTCCTTTTCAGATAATTCCCCCTTGAAAGCTGACAGGAATCTCGCCTCAGCCACCACCCATCTTAATAGTTCCATGCGAAACCATTCTTCATTAAGTGGAGTCCTGTAGCTCAGTGGTTAGAGCACTCGCCTCGCAAGTGAGAAACCTGGGTTCAATTCCTGGCAGGGCGAAATGTTGGGCAAGTTTCCTTACTCCGCACGCCTGTTTACCTAGCAGTAAGTAGGAACCTGGTTGTTGGCGGATCGCTTTTCTGGGGGTAATAATTCCTTTTAAAAAATGAATAAATTGGTCACTTCAATTCACGGCTGTTTGTGGGACACTGCTGTGCGCAATTGGCTGCCGCGTTTCACCCACAAAATATACAGTCAATTCACTTTACAGTATATTTTGTGAAGTGCTTTGAGGCGTCTCGAAGACATGATAAGGCGCTATTTCAGAGGCAAGGATTATTATTATTATTTAATGTGATTTGAAGGCAGAGAGGGACTCCAGCACGGATTTGCAGAAACCAGGGTTAGAATACACGCCTGAAATGGACTGCACAAGGGGTGGGGAAGTTAATTTACCACCAGTGACAAGGAATTGCTATTTTTTGCCGTGTGACATGTTTAACAATAGAAAGGAATGTATTGGCTAATTTTACACTCAGCAATGCTGGAAACAATTCCAGGGTCGAATGGACACCCGATCCAGGGAGAATAACCACTCACAGACTTGTCTATCAGCTGTTCCTCTTACACAGTGCAAGGGCAACTGGACACAAAGTCACCATCTTCTTTACCCTCGAGCTGAAAACTGAGAGATCATGAAATACAAACAGAAGTCGCAGGGAGCACTCAGCAGGTCAGGTAGCATCTATGGAGAGAGGAAAGTGAGTTAATGTTTCAGGCCGATGACCTTTCGTCTGAGAAATCATGAGTTTTCGGTTTATTCTTGAAATCTTCCTCATTGTAAAAAAAACAGCAGAGTCCAGCATGGTTCGCAGACATTAATAGCCAGTGCATCCCGGACAATCCCAGAGCGAGACACAGTGTGTAGTGTAGTGTGTGTGTGTGTGTGTGATAAGCAATGTGTCGTGTGGTGTGTTTGTAAGAGACGCAGTGTGTAGTGTGCTTGACAGTATGTTATGTGCTGTCTTGTTCACAAAGTATTTCTGTCCTTTTGGCCTCTATTCAGGTCCTCTGAAGGCACCTGGAAACTATGCAGCAGGTCCTTGTCAAAACTATTTCCACCACCAGCCTCCATGACCCCTTTCTCCAAATTGTAAAAGATAAAGAGCAGCTGTGAGATCAGCCCGTAGGCACCTGGCGAGGGGAAGGGGGGGTGGGAGGGAGGGGTGTGAGTGGCTCCAGCAATACCTGAAACCCCTCAACCCCCTGACTGCAAATTGCATTCTGCATGGATTGCGAGAGAAAAAATCTGACACACTGACATTTGGTCAAAAACTCACTATTCAGACTTTGATCGTCCAATAAACATTTGTGTGAAAATTCCTAAAATACTGTCGCAAGTAGATCATCGAATTTTAATACTGGAGCTTTTGTTATAACCTCTTTGATTTGCTGAAATGCTTTTTTCTGATCTTTTTCCCAATGAACTCTCTATTTTCCTTTATGAGCTCCCTTATTGGCTCCGTTATTTCAGTTACTTTTGGAATAAATCTTGCCACCCCATTCAGCATTCCCGTGAGCCTTTTTGCTCCTTTTTTATCTATCAGTGCGGGCGTTTTTGTTATTGCTACTACCTTTTTCTGACACATTTTTACCCCCTCTTGGGTAATTATGTGTCCTAAATATTTTGCTTCTGTTACTCTTACCCTGTATTTTTTGTTGTTTAGCTTTATTTTCTTCCAAACATTTTTTTAAATACCTTCTCCAACCTTTCATCGTGTTCTTTCTGTGTTTTACCATATATCAACATGTCGTCAATATAATTGATCACCCCTGGTATTTCTTCCAATATTTGTGACAATTTTTTCTGAAACACCTCCTGTGCTGACTTGATTTCAAAGGGCATTTTTTGGAAGCAATACCTCCCATACGGTGTCATAAACGTTGTCAAATACATACTATCCTTTGACAATTTGATTTGCCAGTACCCTGAGCAATCTAATATTGAGAAGTAACGAGCTCCATGTGGTAAAGGATGCACATCTTCTGAAGTGGGAGTTGCATAATGTTCTCTTTTTATAGCTCTGTTTAACTTTTGTGAATGTAAACATATCCTTAATGATTTGTCTGGTTTCTCTATGATTACCGCTACACTCACCCACTCAAGTGGGTTTGTCCACTTTTTTATTATTTGTTCCCTTTCCATTTGGTCTATTTTTTCTTTCAGTCCTTTTTTTTCATTGCCTCTGGTACTCTCCTTAATGATACTCTCCTTAATGAATTACTGGTGGTACTGACCTTATTGTGTAATCTCCTTTCATCATCCTCTCTTTCCAAATAGCTGTTTATATTTTCCTACTAATTCTTCTGTCTCCCTTAGTTCACTTTTCTCTATTTAACATTCCCAAATCTTTTTAACATTCCCATTTTTAATATATCTTCCAGTCCTAATAAAGTATCAGCTTTTATTTTTACAAATTAGGATTTTATTCCTTATCCCCCAGAAAATCAAGCTTAAGATCTTTGTTCTCATTTTCAAAGGCCTCCACGTTATTTGTGGGACACTGCTGTGCGCAATTGGCTACCGCCTTTCGCCCACAAAATATACAGTCAATTCACTTCACAGAATATTCTGTGAAGCGCTTTATGACGTCTCGAAAATGTGATAAGGCACTATATCAAATGCAAGGGATATTATTATTATTAATGTATGAGTTTGTGAGTGTGTAAGAGTGACTGAGAGTGTATGAGTGTGAGTGTGTGACTGTGTGTTATGTATTCAGGTTTTATGTGCCAGTGCTGTGTGGGTATGAGACTGCAACACTCCCACACTGACAAACCACAAATCTGTCCTGTTTGTTAAGCAGTGAAGAACGGCCGGTTAGACTGTAGATAGTTTATGGGTTGATTAGTTGGTGTTGAGGCGTACCAAGGACATGAGATTGCAAATTTCATCTTTATTATAGAGAAGTAGAGACATAGAGCCAATGTATGTCCAGGATTGTAAACAGTAGCCCTCTGCCACCTGTAAGCCTTGTGCCTGCCCATGTCCCCCGTCCTGCTCGCCCCACCAGAGATGGGCCCACCTTCAGCTTTTCTGCCCCCACCATCTAGAATGCCATCTCGGAATCTCTCCACCTCGCTCCTCCCCTTGCCTCTTTCAAGGCCCGTCTCGAGACCTTCCTCTTGGATCGTGTCTTCAGTCAACCTCCCACCCCCATCCCCCTTGGCTCCCACCCCTCTTGATCCAACCCTCAGCTCGGGAGCAACCCTTACGTCCAGCGTTTTGGGACATCATCCTGATGTGAAAGGTGCTATGTAAACGCAGTTTGTTGTTGTTCTGCTTTATTTTCAATACTGTCGTTGCACTAACTTTGGAGCTCTGATTTAAATCTAACCGAGGTCTTATGTTTCTAATGGATGGAAAGTTGAGCTTGGGTTGGGGGCCCATGAGTTTCTGATTGTTTGAATAAGTATATTTATTATCAATTCTGTAATGTGCAATACAAGAATTTGATCTGTTGTTCAGTCCACATAGAGGAAATTTAACCCTACAGCTAATGAAGCTGGATGAACACAGCTTTACCAGCGTGTTACCTGTGGAATAATCAGAAGATATTGATGGACAGCATTGCCACAGAACTAACCTAATGCTTTATATGACCTGAGTGGCTGCAGTGAAGTGGAAAATTTCTCCTTTCTCTCGTGGCACCCGTCACCTTAATAAGCATGAAATTCACACTGAAGTATAGGGCTGCATTGCTTGAACTCAGTGATAATCACTTGGTCACAGTAAATTCCTTTCAAGCAATAAGTAAAACAACACCATTTTGTCTATGCCAATTTTCATTCTCTTCTTTTACAACTGGATCTTCCTGGTGCCTTCAGCAGATGGGTTTCCGAACAGTTCTTCTAGCCAGACTCCTCGCCACCTCCAGCTGCTCCAGCCAAGACTTCTCCTTAAAGGCACTGAAAATCAAACGCAACTTCTGTTCAGAGACACATTACATCCTATCACATCATAAGACCTCAAAGGTCTGCATACACCAGGATCACATTCATAACACAATTGGTAAACATTGAATCCTGCCAGTAACTGAACACTGCATTACATTGAAAACACAAACAGAAGTCACTGGGAACACTCAGCAGGTCAGGCAGCATCTATGGAGAAAGGAAAGTGAGACAACGGTTCAGATCCATGACCCTTTGTCAGAATAGTTCTCCATAGATGCTGCCTGACCTGCTGAGTGTTCCCAGCGATTTCTGTTTTCAGATTTTCAGCATCTGCACAATTTAGTGTTTTGATTGCATTACACTGCTCCTCCTCCAACTAGAAGTAGATTGGATCAGAGGTCTGGTCCCAGAGGTTGAAGTTCAGTATTTACAACTTTGTAAATTACCTGTTAAGTTGCTGTGAAGAGTACTGACTATAATACAGGAAAAACATAGCAGCTAATTTCTTCTAGCAACCCCCATACATTGTGTGATACGAGGGTGACAATGGCCTCTTGCTGTAAGTTTTAACGTTTCAATGAAGCTGTTCAAAATTCACTGTCACAGCCCCAATCACATGAATCTATCAGTGAAGGCGATTCAGTGCAGATACAAAAACACCTCCTTTCATATTGCCTTCTTACCTGCTCTTTTGGTAACTCAGTTAGCCATTATCTAGTGTGAAACCGAGCCATGGAGTTACCAGATTAAATCTCCAATCGAGAGTTATCTGATCACAGTTTGGGGCAAGAGCTGGGGCTACAAATGGCCTCAACTCTTGGGCTAAAAGTGGAAAGTATAGCAGAGTTCTCACTCCTTACCACTCTCCAGTGATCCCCGAATGTGAAGATGGGATTGGGCTAAAATGAGGAAAGCATTGAACTCAACATAGCTATTGACAGCTTACCGATGACCCATCTCGAGGGGGCAGAAGTCACTTAAACAAATTAACAGGGCAGGCCAGGTCCAGTGGGAACTTCAGGAGGAGATTGATGGGAAAAATGGAAAACATTTAAAGGAAAACACAAACACAGCAGAGAACACAGAATGGACCAAAAATGTAATTAAAAGCTTGGACCTTGCAAGAGCCAAACAGTAAATGGCATTCTCTCGTGGTGTTCTCCCAGTGTGGTGGTAAAATGAGTCGAGTGATGAAGTCAGAAGCAGCGTAGGATTCGGTCCTGAGTAAAAAAACTGTGGTCTTGGGTTGGTATCTCTGGATACTGGTGGGAGAGAAACGTTAACTCTGCACATGTTTTGATCCAAGTTATTCATTTTACGAAGCCCTCTCAGCGGCTCTGTGCTTTTCTTTTGCTGCATTAGCGGCTTTGTAGGAACCTGGCCACCTTGCTTGGAATGGAAGGCACTGGGACCCTTTTTCTGGTAGTTCAATGGAGGCAGTGTAACCCTTTGCCCTGGTGGCCTTTCTTCACCATTTTGTCTTTGAGTTTGGAAGTCATCTTGGCCTCAGTGAAACCGTCCACAAAAATGGTGTCCCCAACCCTCGTTTTATAGACCTGTTCTGGCAGTTGCTTTGAACGTACCCGCCTTTGCGCCTTACTGAGCCATCGCTTGATTTTAACATAGAGTCTGAGCGGGATGGGGAGCCCAGCGAACGAAACCACTGACCAGAGTTTTGCCACGAGGTACAAGACGCATTCCTTGTGCCCATGTTGAATGCAGATCTTCAGTGGGGTGCGGCCTTCTGAGGTTTGGCATTCCAAGCACAGGAGGTTGTTGCTTAGGAATGCTTTCAGCAACATAAGCTGCCCAGTCTCGGCTGCTGCATGCACTGCACACTTGCTAATGTCAGGGTGGTCAGTTTGGTGACACCACTCCCGGTACGGGTGGATACCAACCGGCAGATCGGCTCGCACTCCCTGCTGTAGGAGCCAGCTAGCAAGGTCTAAATACCCCAAATAGGCAGCCAAGTAGAGTGCCACTCGCTGCTGAAACCTAAACATAAGAAGTACATTTTGTAAAGACTGAGTACTAGTTAAAAACTGGTTTAGAGCTTAAATAAAAATGAAATTGCTTATTTTTATGAAGCAACTCATCACGTGAAATATCTGATGACATGAATTACTGTTTTTTTCTCAACCCAAACATTGCAGGCATTTTAAACCTAGTAAGGTCCACACACAGCCATGAAGTGAGTCACTATGTTTAACTAGAGGGTTGGTGGCCAGGACACTGGGAAGAAGCTTCTTAACTTTTTCAATTGTGTTGAGGCATCTTGAGGAATACCTGAGGAATCATAGAAATTTACAATACAAAAACAGGCCTCTGACCAGCCCATCTCCCCTGCTGCTGAGCAATCTCTTCAGTAACTTGAATGCAAGTTGTTGTAGTTCAGTGGTGTGAAGCTTATGTAGATGTCTACATGAGGTATATAATTGGACTCGAGGACATAGCGAAATTTGGGCAAGTTTCCTTACTTCACTTACCTGTTCACCTAATGATAAGTAAGAACCCGGTTGTTAGTGGATTGGCGGATCGCTTTTCCAGGGGTAATAATTCCTTCAAAAAATATTAATAATAATAAAATGGTCACTTGAATCCACGACTGTTGTGTGCAATTGGTTACTGCTTTTCGCCCACAAAATGTACAGTCAATTCACTTCGCAGTATATTCTGTAAAGTGCTTTGAGACGCCTCAAAGACGTGATAAGGCCCGACATCAAAAATTCAAGGATTATTTGGGCCACCGAGGATCCTCTTTCCAAAGGTTTTTTTTTCCATAAGCTGTGTTTTTAAAAAGTAACTTTGTGCAATCCTGTGCCGAGTAGTGCACTATATGCATGACATTACCAGTGTCTAAACTGGAGTCTAAATCACAAGCATTTCAAATTGGATTCACTAATTCATCAATCGTGACTTGACGACTTGTGGGAACTGTTTCTGCCAAGTGTCCTTTCAGGGCGGACTTCCTGTGGGTTGGTGGGACCTTGTAGTGTATTGTAAGTTACCAAAAGGAGTAACCACTCGGATGCTTTAATTAAGGAATCTACTTTGAAACAGTCACGTTTTAAATCCGTTTTTAATTATAATTCGAAATTGTGGGCCTTTTGATTATCGACAGGTGCTTCTCCCTGTGGGGGCTGATCAATGATACTCTGTGCTTAGAATAAGTGAGGTCATGCACATACTTTGCTGTAGGTTTCTCTTCAGACAGATGCCGCTGGATGATGTGTTTCCGTCCCAGTAAACAGCCTGTCAGGAACACTTTCCAGCCGTCCCATACGTCCAGCCGAATCGTGCTCCCTGCCAAAGGAACAAGTGTTAATGGGGGAATGAGACTACGAATAACAACACCTCACAACACCTCACATTTCGTATATAGAGCATTTATGATGGGAGAAAAGTGCTGCCGAAGACAAAGTAGGTTCAGTGAAAAGAAAAGTCACAGAATTTCTAATAGCTCATGGCCAGGATTGATGAGATCATTATAATAATAATCCTTGCATTGGGCATACAACAACAACAACAAAATTACATTTGTTTAGCGCCTTTCACGTCCGGAGGATGTCCCAAGGCGCTGGACAATCAATATTTCGGACCCGAGCTGGGGGTTTTAGCTGGTTAGACTCCAGCAGTACCCCAATTCACACTCTGGGGTTCCCCAAGCCTTGGCTCCTGCTAACCTGGGCCCAATCAAGTGCTTTGCGACGCTACCTTGCATGAGGGCTGCTCTATAAATGCAAGTTGTTGTTAATAATTGCCGAAATTATGTGAGCAGGATATATCCCTCCAGGGAAGCGCACGCATTTGATTCCAGCATTCTATCTCTGGAATTTCCATGTGAGTGTGATCCGTGGTTTAGATACTCTTAAGCAAGGTGATGGAGGTTTCCACATGTGTCAGATGCCCGGCTAACCAAAAAAATGCTGAGTTTACAAGTAAGTGTGATTTGCACAATCTCCGGATGAATCAAGGAGTAGGTGTGAGTGGATTCAAACCAGTACCACTACATCTTGCATCTTACATCTACACTGTGATTGCTTACCTAGGTCGATGTGATAGTCATCAATTCTGTTGCAGTTATACAGTTCTGTACCTGCTGAAGTGCTGAGACGGAAAGTACTAACTGGAAGTCCTGACTTCAGCGACACCAGACTCTTCAATGAGGCTACTGTCATAGATAAGAACAGGGGTCTCTCCATGATGGGGAGCGTTTGCCTCGTCAGAGAATTGTATATATAGAGGACAGGTTTCTCCTCCTCCTGGATCGGGGAAAGTGTTTTCACAATAAAGCAGCCACAGGAATAATCAATTAAACTGAAATTGACTTTCCCTCCTTATTCTACTGCTCCTTCCTCACTCCCTCCATCCCAACATTGGTGACAAAATCTACAGCCACCGCTCCGAGGGTGGCTTGATGAGCCGAATGGCCTCCTTCTCTGCTGTAAATTTTTTTGATTCTAATTTCTGAGACCGCTCTCTCTTCCAAACCGTCTTGGCCTTACTTCCCCTCCCAAAACTCTCCTAAAGACACATATCTGACCGACTTAGGCCTGCAGCTTCAATCTTCCCTTCTTTCTCTCTCCTCAATGTTCCCCATCATATTTATGAAGCACTTTGAGACATTTACTGTATGTGGTAGCTGCTATAAGTGCAAGTTATTGTTACTTTGTCTGTTTATTCCATTAAATCTATCTTGATAAACTTGTTTAGCGATACCAAGAGATTTTCAGAAAATGCACATCATGCACACCACAAAGAGTGGTCATACAAATCCACCTAGTCTTAGTCAATGAGACATCTTCTTTCATCTCTTGATGGTTTCTGCAGTTCTGAAAAAGAACACTTTCAGATGAATATTAAATGGAAGAATTTTCTGCAACTCTTACATTTTAAAAGAAAATGATCTGTTGCAGGTAAGACTCGATGAAATTTTGCATCTACAGCATATACAGTATATTTGTGGGGAAACACAGCAATTTGCAGCCAGTGTACTGGAGGCGACGTCAGAGTTTAGCAGCACAGTCACACAGACCACTTTGCTGAAATGGATCTGGGATATTTTTCGGATAGAATCATAGAATTATACAGCACAGAAAGAGGCCATTCGTCCCATTGTGCCTGTGTCGGCTCTTTGAAGTAAAGGGCATTAGGACATCCATTTAAAGAGCAAAGCTGGAAGGGAGAAACGTTATTTTCTGCTCCAGGAATAAGAGGAATGGTTGAGAATGTAGACCACACAATGATACACTGAACTGGACTCGTCATAGGAAGATGAACAGCTGCTGAGTAAAGGGCTGTCACAGCAGAAGACCATCCAACCAACTGCAATGCCAATTTTGCTCCTCCAATTAAGTTAGATACTAATCCCAATTCCTGCTCTTTCCCTGTACCCTCTAACCATCTTCTTGTGATGGTTAGAACTTTTCTAATTCATTTTAAAATGACATTACAAGTTCACTGCACTATTATGACACCCCAAAGAACGGCTACCAAAAAGCCGGCGGGGTGGGGGGCAGGAATTTACAGTCAGAAATGCTCGCCTTTCCACTAGCATAAACAATTTACTGTTTCTAACTACAGATCCTCTGCCCCACATATCTCTCCTTTCTTTCTTTCTTTCTTTCTTTCTTTCTTTCTTTCTTTCTTTCTTTCTTTCTTTCTTTCTTTCTTTCTTTCTTTCTTTCTTTCTTTCTTTCCTTCTTTCAGTAAGTATAACATCACCCCTTTCTGCCGCGCACACAGCCTGTTTTTTACCTTGATGAGGCATCTTATAGTTGAGCATGGAGTTACTCCCACATCGGCTAGCACCCAGCTTTCTTGTAAAACAGCCCCAGCGTAAATCAGCTGTAAGAACCTGCGCCCCTGCTTGTCGTCCGACAGCGAGATGTGAAAATGATGCTTAAAGAGAACAAAAACAAGATCCAGAATCCGTCAGAAGAAAAGCAGCAGGGTTGTGCAACAGCATATCATAAACGTGACTCCCCCACAGTTTATTGAGACATTAAACGTCTCGTTAAATTGTTCCTTGGTCGCACAGAATTGTCTCTCTTACCTGAATCATTAATTTGATGGATTGGACTGTCTGGGTTGGTAAAATGTCAAAAGGTTCGCAAACATTCTCAAAAGCAACGAAGATTCTCATGACCCTCCCTCCAACCCCACCACCCCAAAAGCCTCTTCTCAGACTGTTAAGACTGTTAGCTGCAAAGTCTATAGAGACTTTGGGTAAGCAACACTGCACATCACTGCCTGGTGATGTACAAAGCCTTTGAGTCACACCTACCTCTCCTGAGCAGACTCCCCAGCAGCGTTGGATTGTGACTGTTGATGTCCTTGGAGGGATTAAGCAAATATCCCCACCCTCCTTTCATCAAAAGCAAATGACTGTGGATTGATCTGGGCATGTAGGGACTTGCTTTGAAATAGGTAAATAGAGGTCTTTCATCCACAATGTTCGTGAAAGAGTTATTATACCATTTGGAGGCAGTGGCTACGGTGAACTTACTGCAAAATAACATGTTTTGGTAGACAGTGCATCAAGTGAATGTTTTATTGCATTAGAATATATTCACATGGCCTGAAGCGCAGTGCATGGACAACTGTGCAAAGAGCTGACACGATGCATCGTTGACCACTTGTACTTGCGAGCGTCAGAGCAGAAGTAGGAAATACTGACAGGCCCTTAACTAGGAGGAGACAAAGTCCCGTCTGCCTATTCAGGTCAATGTTAAAGATCCCATCACACTATTTGAAAAAGAGAAGGGAGTTTCTCCTGGTGTCCTGACCAACAACTCCACCCCCACCAACCACCGGTTAAAAATTGGTCATTCACTTCATGGCTGTTTTGGGGACAGTTGCTGGATGCAAATTAATTGTTTCATTTTCCTACTTAGAGATGGCTTGATTACATATTTTGGCCCAGAAAATATACACTTTTCATCCGAAGCTTAACACAGCTCTGCTACTGAAGGCTGCCTCACATAGGAGAATTCCTGATAAGATTACCTGAATTTGCTCTAGGTAAAGGATGAGGTTGGCCTGGGTTTGATTCCCCGGCATGGCGAAATGTTGGGCAAATTTCCTTGCTCCGCAAGCCTCTGTTTACTTAGCAGAAAATAGGAACCTGGTTGTTAGTCAATTGGTGGATCACTTTTCCTGTTGTAATAACCCCTTCAAAAAAAAAATAATAATAATTTGGTCACTCAATCCACAACTGTTTGTTGGACCCCGCTGTGAGCAATTGGCTGCCACATTTCACCCGCAAATTATATAGTCAATTCACTTTACAGTATATTCTGCAAAGTGCTTTGAAAAGTCTCGAAGACGTGATAAGGTGCTATATCAAATGCAAGGATTATTATTATCATTCTAATGGGACTACGCTCCAAGATGCTACCTTCGTGAAGGGCGCTATGTAAATGCAATTGTTGTTGTAAGCTTCTGAGCTCAACTAACAGGATCCACAGCTCAGACTATAATGGTGAGGAAGCTAGGCTGTCTGGCTAATAACTGGTAGATATTACTGATATTTTTAGTGTGCTCCTCTCTTAAGCTTAATAGGTTTCCCCATAGTAAAGCATCAAAACCATAAAACAACAGCCTGTTTCTTGGCAAACAGATCCTGCACTAAATAAGAATTAATCTGAGATAATGGTCCTTGATGTTGCAGAACAGAGTCTAAACTTGAAATCCTGTGGCTTAGCATTTGGTTCTTCATCTGGAGAAGGAAAATGTAACTGATAAAGTAGAAAAGGGAAGTGCAATGGATGTAGTGTATCTGGATCTCCAGAAGGTCTTTGATAAAGTGCCATACAAGAGGCTCATGAGTAGGGGCATGCAGAGTGAGATGTAGCAGAATGGATTAAAGAATGGCTAGGAAACCAAAAGCAAAGGGTAGGAGTTAAGGGTATTTTTTTCATGCTGGCAAGAGGTAGGAAGTGGTGTTCCAGAGGGATCCGTGTTAGGCTCACTACTGTTCACCACATACATAAATGATGTGTATAAGGATGTTCCATATACACATCATAGGAATGACACCATCATTCTGCCTGCCTGACTGCTCACAAAAAAGGCCACAAAATGACCACAATATTAACCTTAAAACTGTTCTTTTCTAATTTTAAATGATGCAGAATTTTGGAAAACATTTTAAATCCAGTCTTGTTTTTCGCACATTGAACTGTTCCTGCAATGCAATGACAAACCTAACCCTCTTCCCATTGTGGGGGAAAGCTTTGCTCTGTGGGACGTGAAAGGCGCTATGCAAATGTAATTTGTTGTTATTGTTGGGTTTCAGTACTCTGAGACGCAAGCCTGCGCTAGCCTCCTTGTCCCATGAATCCTCCGCTCCACCATCAGCGGCCGTGCCTTCAGCCACTACATCCGGAAGCCATGGAACTCCCTCCCTCAATCCCTTCGCCTTGCCCCCTCTTTCCCTATTTTCAGGTTGCGCCTGAAGACCTTCCTCTTCAACCGTGCCTATGGTCACCTTCCCCCCCTCCCTGGCTTGGCATCAAGCTCCACCGTTGTTAACTCCTCTGGGAGGCTGCCTGGCATGGAGGGCGATATATAAATGCAAGTTGTTGTTGTTGTGAAAGATGCTATATAATTCTAATTGTTGTTGTTGTCTGCAATCTACCTCGATTGCGGCCAAATCAGACAAACAGCCTCAGCATAACAATACCTGTTGCTGGCTCGAATCGGATAAAAGCAAACCAATTTACATTTTCTTTGAAGTGACATCTCAGCCTGGTTCCTATGGTAGCCTGGACATTGTATATTCAATGCAAATTCAGTTATAGAAAATGATTTGAATGAAGCTCAGGATCGACACTTGATCGCTGCCATTTATTAAAGGAGTTAAACAGTTTAGTTAGGCATGAGAGAATGAAATGGAATGGCAAAATAATGCTTGTAAGTAAAGCATCCCACATTGCCACAATGGAACATTGTTAAAAACTAATGAACCAGGACAGATTGGCAGATGTCCAGTTCTGCAGATTGACGCCACAAGAGCCTATTGAGATAGACAAACCCAGATTGTAATCATGCTTAGAGATTTATAGGGTTCATACATTATGTCCTGGTTTTCCCCTGTACCATCATTGCAAGTGAGTTATAATAATAATGCTTGCACTTGATATAGCACCTTATCACATCATTGAGACGTCTCAAAGCACTTGTGCTAAAATGTTGTAAAATGGATTGACTGTATTTTGTGGCGAAACGCAGCAGCCAATTGCGCACAGCAGAGTCCAACAAACAGTGGGTTGAAAGATCAAATGGTTTTATTTTTTTTAGAGATTATTACCTCCACAAAAGGGATTTGCCAATTGACTAACAACCAGTTTCCTGCTTACTGCCAGGTAAACAGAGACGTTTGGAGTAATAATAATAATAATAATAATAATCCTTGCATTTGATATAGCGTTTTTCACGTCGGGAGGACGTCCCAAAGCGCTTCACAGAACACACTGTAAATTGAATTGACTGTATATTTGTGGGCGAACGCGGCAGCCAATTGCGCACAGCAATGTCCCACAAACAGTCATGGATTGAAAATGACCAATTTATTATTGTTTTTTGTTTTGGAGGGATTATTATTAGGCGTGTGGAGTAAGGAAACTTGCCCAAAGTTTCGCCCTGTCTGGAATTGAACTCAGGTCTCTCGCTTGCAAAGCGAGTGCTCTAACCACTGAGCTACAGGACTCCAAAGGAGTAAGGAAACTTGCCTAAAGTTTTGCCCTGCCATGAATCACACCCAGATCATCTCGACTGCGATGTGAACACGCTAACCACTACTCTACGGGACTCCAAAATTAAGCATGAGAGAATGACTGTACCATCATTAAAAACAAGTTGATGAGGTAGATTTCAGCTGCCGGAGGGAGAGACATGACACCTCTCAGTATATTATTGAGCCGCACAGACGGGGTAGCATTTGAGGCTACTACTGGGGGGGTGTGGGGGGTGTGGGTAGGAAGAGGTGCACCCAATGAATTGAGCACCAATAGAAGAAAAAAAGGGTCAGAAGTCTTTAGGGTTCTACAGTGGAAATCAGTTAAGCCTTCCAAAAATAAAAGCGTACTTTTCTGGGGGAGTACTGCATTTCAGAGATGCAGACCTTAACATGAGGGGTTAAAAGAAACAAGTTTCCTTCTGTCTGTTATCACACTTTATTATTTATTATTATTCATTATTATTTATTATTATTATTTGTTATTACACTTTTCATTATATCCTGTAAAGAGCTTAAAGACATCCTCCCAATGTGAAAGGTGTTATTATTATATGTTAAATAATGAATATTCAGTAAGAGAAGCAGTTTCTTCCAGTCTTTTGGTCAACAATCCTCGAAATAAAATTAGTCATTCACTCCACGGCTTTTCGTTGGACACTGCTGTCTGCAAATTGCCTGCTGCCCATAAAAATGTGACATTATTTTGCACTGCTTTACTACTTTATCCAATGAAGTGTTTTGAGATGTTTCGACGACATGATAAGGCACTATATTAATTGGAAGCATTATTTTATTAAATCAAACGTAAAAATTATTATTATTAGTGTGACAATATTTTAAAATTGAAAACCTGTTAAGCACTATGTGTGTGTACAAAAATACTGAGCAGTTACAAACAGTGGCTCCATTACATCTCGGAGAAATTTGGAAACACATTGCCTTCCAAACTATAATATATAAACCTTGCCAATTGTATGAACACAGGTGTGAATGTGTTCAGATAAAGATGGGTCAAATTATTTCACACATCAAATTGAGTGAGTCCTTTGTAGCTTCCCCGAAATTCAAATCAATGATTTGGCAAAATCAAAATGTTCGCCAAGTAGGGATGGACCTCTGAAATGGTTTATCTGGAGAACGAACATCAGAACTGCAGGTCTGAACAACATCCAGATAGACAACACCCAGGTCTTGCATTCCGCAAACTTGACCAGAATTGAGACCTTGCTGTCCTTGAAGAGAGACGAGCATGACCAGAGTGCCCTTCGCCCCTTCTCAGGACAATGGCCAGGCAAAAGTCGGTGTCCACCTTGACCCCGAGGTCCTGATAGTAACAATCCTTGCATTTGATAGAGCGCTTCTCCACATCTTCTCGGCATCTCAAAGCGCTTCACAGAATAGACTGTAAAGTGAAGTGACCGTATACTTGGGGGCGAAACGCGGCAGCCAATTGCGCACAGCGGCGTCCCCACAAACAGTGGTGGGTTGAAGATGACCGGTTTGCTGTTGTGTTTTTGGGTTTGGGAGGGATTATTATTATCAGGCGCGTGGAGCAAGGAAACTCGCCCAAGGTTTCGCCCTGTGCCGGGAATCCAACTGGGACTGATGTCCGTTGTATCCTCCAATCCTCCAAGCGATGGCTTCTCTCGGGCAGCGCAGGACCACTTGGGGGCTCCACGTCACACACCAGTTGGCCCAAGTGTTCAGGGTGAAGGCTGCAGCGAATTTACAAGTTGCGAAACAAAACAGCCGGTTGGTAAAAGCTGCCGTTTTTTGCTCTATTCTGTTTAATTACTGCGTTTTTACTTCCGACCTTTAAAGGCTGCGGAGGCGCACGTCTTTAACGTTCAGTTCACAAATCAACATTTACAGTGTTGGCTTTGAATTTTGAATTGAAAGCTCATCTTTATTTGGACGGAGCGAATATTATCAGAGCACTCGCTGAGACGGAGCCCCATCGTTTGGCGCCGAAGCGCTCCGGGACCGTCCGGCGTGGAGGGCGCTACATAAATCCAAGTTGTTCTTCTCGTTGTCCTTCATCCGCTGCACCGCCGCACAGTAAACTCAGGAGGAGTGAGTGGCGCTGAGTGCAGCCGAAATTAACAGTAACCAATTTTTTCTTTGGGGGGGGGTCACGTGTCCTGACACGTGCGGAAGCCCACCCCTGCGATTAAGAGTCTCCAAACCAAAGCTGAGATTTCCGTGGCATCCCATCGGCACACACGGAAATCCCAGGGACAGATTGTTGGGTTGGAACGCGCTCTCTCCCTCCCCGGAGGGACGGGTCCAATCCGCTTATCCAATTCCGGAGAGTATTGGGACGCCGGTTGGCCAGAGCCGAGGCGTGGGGTCCCCAGAGCGCACACTGGGACCGCCGGAGCGCACCAGACACTGGGACACTTGGTGACCGGGGCCGTGTGAGTGACAGTTGCTGGGGGGCGGGGCCGTGTGAGTGACAGTTGTTGGGGGGGCGGGGCTGTGTGAGTGACAGTTGCTGGGGGGCGGGGCTGTGTGAGTGACAGTTGCTGGGGGGCGGGGCTGTGTGAGTGACAGTCGCTGGGAGGGCGGGGCCGTGTGAGTGACAGTTACTGGGGGGCGGGGCTGTCTGAGTGACAGTTGCTGGGGGGCGGGGCTGTGTGAGTGACAGTTGCTGGGGGGGCGGGGCCGTGTGAGTGACAGTTGTTGGGGGGGCGAGGCTGTGTGAGTGACAGTTGCTGGGGGCGGGGCTGTGTGAGTGACAGTTGTTGGGGGCGGGGCTGTGTGAGTGACAGTTGTTGGGGGGCGGGGCTGTGTGAGTGACAGTTGCTGGGGGGCGGGGCTGTGTGAGTGACGGTTGTTAAGGGGGGCGGGGCTGTGTGAGTGACAGTTGCTGGGAGGGCGGGGCTGTGTGAGTGACAGTTACTGGGGAAGGGGCGGGGCTGTGTGAGTGACAGTTGTTGGGGGGCGGGGCTGTGTGAGTGACAGTTGCTGGGAGGGCGGGGCAGTGTGAGTGACAGTTGTTGGGGGGGCGGGGCTGTGTGAGTGACAGTTGTTGGGGGGGGCGGGGCTGTGTGAGTGACAGTTGTTGGGGGGGCGGGACGGGGCTGTGTGAGTGACAGTTGCTGGGGCGCGGGCCGGGGCTGTGTGACAGTTGCTGGGGGCGGAGCTTCGTGAGTGACAGTTGCTGTGGGCGGGGCTGTGTGAGTGACAGTTGCTGCGATTCGGGGCTGTGTGAGTGACAGTTGCTGGGGGCGGAGCTGTGTGAGTGACAGTTGCTGGGTGGGCGGGGCTGTGTGAGTGGCAGTTGTTGGGGGGGCGGGCCGGGGCTGTGTGAGTGATAGTTGCTGGGGGGCGGCGCTGTGTGAGTGACAGTTGCTGTGGGGGCGGGGCGGGGCTGTTTGAGTGACAGTTGCTGTGGGGGGGCGGGGCTGTGTGAGTGACAGTTGCTGGGGGGCGGGGAGGGCTGTGTGAGTGACAGTTGTAGGGGGCGCGGGGCGGGGGGGTTGTGTGAGTGACAGTTGTTTGGGGGGCGGGGCGGTGTGAGTGACAGTTGCTGGGCGCGGGCCGGGGCTGTGTGAGTGAGTTGTTGGGGGGCGGGGCCGTGTGAATGACAGTTGCTGTGGGGGCGGGGCGGGGCGGAGCTGTGTGAGTGACAGTTGCTGGGTGGGCGGGGCTGTGTGAGTGGCAGTTGCTGAGGGCGCGAGCCGGGGCTGTGTGAGTGATAGTTGCTGGGGGGGCGGCGCTGTGTGAGTGACAGTTGCTGGGTGGGCGGGGCTGTGTGAGTGGCAGTTGCTGAGGGCGCGAGCCGGGGCTGTGTGAGTGATAGTTGCTGGGGGGGCGGGGCTGTGTGAGTGAGTTGTTGGGGGGCGGGGCCGTGTGAATGACAGTTGCTGTGGGGGCGGGACTGTGTGAGTGACAGTTGCTGTGGGGGCGGGGCTGTGTGAGTGACAAATGCTGGGGGGGGCGGGGCGGGGCTGTTTGAGTGACAGTTGCTGTGGGGGGGCGGGGCTGTGTGAGTGACAGTTGCTGGGGGGGGCGGGGCTGTGTGAGTGACAGTTGCTGGGAGGGCGGGGCCGTGTGAGTGACAGTTACTGGGGGGGCGGGGCTGTCTGACTGACAGTTGCTGGGGGGCGGGGAGGGCTGTGTGAGTGACAGTTGTTTGGGGGGCGGGGCGGGGCGATGTGAGTGACAGTTGCTGGGAGGGCGGGATGGGGCTGTGTGAGTGACAGTTGCTGGGCGCGGGCCGGGGCTGTGTGAGTGACAGTTGCTGGGCGCGGGCCGGGGCTGTGTGAGTGAGTTGTTGGGGGGCGGGGCCGTGTGAATGACAGTTGCTGTGGGGGCGGGGCTGTGTGAGTGACAGTTGCTGTGGGGGCGGGGCTGTGTGAGTGACAATTGCTGGGGGGGCGGGGCGGGGCTGTTTGAGTGACAGTTGCTGTGGGGGGGCGGGGCTGTGTGAGTGACAGTTGCTGGAGGGCGGGGAGGGCTGTGTGAGTGACAGTTGTTTGGGGGGCGGGGCGTGGCGGTGTGAGTGACAGTTGCTGGGCGCGGGCCGGGGCTGTGTGAGTGACAGTTGCTGGGAGGGCGGGATGGGGCTGTGTGAGTGACAGTTGCTGGGCGCGGGCCGGGGCTGTGTGAGTGACAGTTGCTGGGGGGCGGGGCGGGGCTGTGTGAGTGTCAATTGCTGGGGGGGCGGGGCTGTGTGAGTGACAGCTGCTGTGGGTGGGTCTGTGTGAGTGACAGTTGCTGGGAGGGCGGGACTGGGCTGTGCTGTGTGAGTGACAGTTGCTGGGGGCGCGGCTGTGTGAGTGGCAGTTGCTGAGGGCGCGGGCCGGGGCTGTGTGAGTGACACTTGCTGGGGGCGGGGCTGTGTGAGTGACAGTTTCTGGGGGGCGGGGCTATGTGAGTGACAGTTTCTGGGGGGCGGGACGTGACTGTGTGAGTGGTGGTTGCTGGGGGGCGGGGCTGTGTGAGTGACGGTTGCTGGGGGGCGGGGCTGTGTGAGTGACGGTTGCTGGGGGGCGGGGCTGTGTGAGTGACGGTTGCTGGGGGCGGGGCTGTGTGTGTGAGTGACGGTTGCCAGGGGCCGGGCTGTGCGGCTCTCTGGCTGTGCTGGTGCGGGCGATGCTGCTGTGAGGCGGCGCCGCTGTGGTCTCCTCCTCCCTCACATGCGGCCTGTGCTGTGTGTGTGTGTGTGTGTGTGTTGATCAGCTGGGAGCGGCCCGGGTTGCGGTGAGTAAGGTAAGGCAGCTCGTGTCACTGTGTGTGGCGGGAAAGGCAGAGCCGGGCCACCCCCTGCCCCTACCCCAGGCTGGTGTGGGCCTTCCCCAGGGCAGGGAGGGCAGGGGGAGCCGTTCCGGGTTGCTGAGTGTCAGGCTGCCCCCCCCCCGGGGCCTGGTCACTTGTACCGTGAGGAGCGGATCCCCTCCGTGTTTCTGCCCCGAACTCACGATGGGAGAAGATTGTCATTGTAACGCAGGGCCTTTGGTCGCTCTGACTCTGACTCCTGACTCCCCGCTGGTGCAGCTCTTCAGCCCACATCCGATGTAAAGAGCTCCGACTTGTGCACAGTGTTTATATTTACCGACCAGGAGCAGTCGCAGTTCGGTTTGCCGGATCCGGTTTGTGTTGTAATAATAATATAATAATATAATAATAAACAATAATCCTTTGCGTCTGATACAACAACAACAACAACAGGATTTCATTTATAGAGCGCCTTTCACGTCGGGAGGACGTCCCGAGGCGCTGTACAGTTGGGTCGGGACCTGAGGAGGGGGGACATGGTCAGGGGGAGGGGAGAGAGGGAGGGGGCGAGGAGGGGGACATGGTGAGGGGGAGGGTGAGGGGAGGGAGTGGGCGAGGAGGGGGGCCATGGTCAGGGTGAGGGGAGGGAGGGGGCGAGGAGGGGGGACATGGTGAGGGTGAAGGGAGAGAGGGAGGGGGCGAGGAGGGGGGACATGGTGAGGGTGAGGGGAGAGAGGGAGGGGCCGAGGAGCGGGGACATGGTGAGGGGAGGGAGGGGGCGAGGAGGGGGACATGGTGAGGGTGAGGGGAGAGAGGGAGGGGGCGAGGAGGGGGTAGAGGGTCGAGAGGGGAGCTGAAGGCACGGTTGAAGAGAAAGGTCTTGAGACCGGCCTTGAAGGAGGAAAGGGAGGAAGCAAAGCGAAGACACGTCTTCTCTGCACCTCAAAGCACTTCACAGAATATACTGCAAAGTGAACCGACCGTGTATTTGTGGGCGAGACGTGTTGAAGCCTAATCTCGGGATTTATCATTTTTCGAGTTTTTGTTTAGATTCTTGTCAGCCGGTTAAGGTTCACTGTTTGAAGGACAGAGGCATCACAAGTGGGCATTTATTTACCTTTGGTTTGGGATTGTCATCTTAAGCTTACACACTGGAAATACACAATGGCAGCGAAACCACAAGTCCTGGAAACTATTGTTCATCTCTGGTAAACAACTGCCCGTTTGAAAAGTCTGTGCTATGCATACATTCTTTCCCTCACCCACAGCTGTATTGTGTGCGCCTCCGTCGCATGCCTCTGGCTCAGCAAACAAAATCAAGTGTTTGGTAAAGTGCTGAATATGAACTTAGTGTCATCTTGGCTCAGTTGGTAAGTGTAGCACTTTCGGCTCTGGGACAGAAGGTAATATATTCAAGTTCCAGTCTAGGCTGACGCTCCAGTGTAATGTTGGGGAGTACTACTTTGTTGGAGATGTTGTCCTTTGGCTGAAATGTTATTAATAATAATAATAATCCTTGCATTTGATATAGCGCTTTTCACGTTGAGAGGACGTCCCAAAGCGCTTCACAGAACACACTTTAAAGTGAATTGACTGTATTTTTTGTGGGCGAACTTGGCAGCCAATTGCGCACAGCAATGTCCCTCCCCCAAACAGTCATAGGTTGAAAATGACCACTTTATTATTGTTTTTGGTTTTGGAGGGATTATTATTAGGCTCTGTGTGGAGTGAGGAAACGTGCCCAAGGTTTCCCCCTCTGCCTGGAACTGAACTCAGGTCTTTCACTTGCAACCACTTCACTTAACCAATGAGCTACAGGACTCCCCAGGCATGTTCTGCCTGACTTCAGGTAGGATGAAAGATCCCGATATATTATTCTAAAAGAGAAATGTATTCTTCCTGGTGTCTTTTCGAGTAATCCTCCAGTTTAAATGTTTTGCTTCATGCCTGTTATTGTGTGCAAATTGACGACCATATTTCTCTTTGAAAAATCTGTCAAAAGCACTTGTTAGTAATTATCGTAAAGCACTTTGAAATATTTTAAAGCGCTTCAAAACAATTGCACTTTATTACTCAGACAATCAGCTTAAGTGCTGATGTGGGGGTTGAGTTCACAATCTTCTGGCCAAGAGGCACGAATGCTACCAACTGAGCTGACAGTTCCAAGTAATAATAATAATCCTTGCATTTGATATAGTGCCTTATCATGTTGAGATGACATGAATCAAATGTAAGGGTCTCAAACCGCTTCATAGAATATACTGTAAAGTGGATTGATTATATTTTGTGGGAGAATGCAGCAGCAAGTTGCGTAAAGCAATGTTCTACAAACAGTCACGGAGTGAGTGACTAACTACCTCTGTGGCCTCTTAACCCCCTACCAACCTGTCTGCTCCCTCCGCTCAACATATTCCGGCCTGCTTCGCATCCCCTGCCTTACTCGCCCCACCATTGGTTGGTGGGCTTTCAGCCTCTCTGTTCCCACCCTCCGGAAATCCATTGCACAGTCCGTTGCCTCCTTCAAGACCCATCTCAAGACCCTCCTCTTTGACCATGCCTTCAGTCACCCTCATACCTCTATTCTCCCCACCTTCCAACCCTCCTGATCCCATACCAGCTTGGGTGCGGATCCCTGACTGTTCAACACCTTGGGATGTCCTCCTAACTGAAAGGCTCTATACAAATGTAATTTGTTGTTGTGTCAAAGCACTTCACAAGATTTAATGTAAAGTGCAGTGTCTCTGTGTATTGTAGGAGAATTCAACAGCCAATTTGTGCACAGCAATATCCGACAAGTAGCCATAAAGTAAGTGAATGACCAATTTTATTTAGGGAATTTTTGGCCAAGACACCTGGAGAAATTCCCTTCCCTTTTGGAATATTAACATTTTTTTTAATGTCCCTCTGAAGAAGCAGATGGGCTAAGGTTAAATGTCTCATCCTAACAATGCAGCGCACCAGCACTCCATTGGAGTGTCATCTTAGACTATACAAGTTCCAAGTCCTGACGTGGAACACAAACTGATTCAGATACCAATTGAATCAGGTTGACACAAAAGAATGCTGGGCTCTATTACTAAATCATTTGAGTTTAGTTCTCCAGAAATCGTACTCAGGCCGTACAGTGCTCTGACCACATCTTTAATACTGCAAACAGTTCTGGTCACCACAATAATATGGGATTGCCCAGGCCCTAGAGGACAGCAACAAAGGTGATTCCAGTGTTCAAGGAACGATTAGACAAATCTTGAGACTCATCTCTTCAGTCTTGAGAGAACACGACTGAGAGGGAACCTTATAGAGGTTCTATTGGGTTAAGAGCAGGAGAGTGGGACTAGTTGGTAGCTCTTTGAAAAAGTCGGCAGAGACACGATGGGCTGAATGGCCTTTTGTGCTGTAAGATTCTATGATTCAATGATTCTAGGTGCATAAAAAATTAAATGGGATTGAAAAAGTACACCCACATCAATACTTTAGGATACAACAAGAAGAAATAGGTTTAGAGTTGTAAAGGGCAATCTTAGGACAAACCCTAGATAGTTTTTCTTTACCCAGTCTATAATTAATGAGTGGACCAGGTTGCCAGTCAAGGTGGTTGAGGCCAGGATATTTAAAAATCAGCTTGATGCTATGTTGGGTGGGACGTCAGGTTGGGTGTTCTGAGGTGGATGGTTCAAAAAGACTAAACAAAATTTTCTGTGAGCAGGGAGTTAGCATAGTCAAGCCAGGACATAACCTTTTGATTGGGGAAAAAAATCTAATGGTTTTATAGAACATAGAATGTAAGAGCAAGAGGTGATTTTAAACTGTTATAATTCAGTAGTTAGACCCCAACTAATGAAAATGGAAATGAGGGAAAATCTATTTCCACTGGTCAGTGATCAGTAAAAAGATGGCATAGGTTTAAGGTAATTGTAATTCTCAGTTTTACATAGAGGGTTGTTAGGATGTGGAATGCCCTACCTGGAACCATGATTGACACATAATCCATTTTAGCTTTTAAGAGGGAATTGGATAAATGTTTGAATAGGAGAAAATAGGTTTCATCTGCATTAAGTGTGACTTATGGTCAGAGGTGGCGATGTGGTGGGGGCGGCTGATGGGGCCGGGGCAGCAGTTGTGGCGGGGGCGGCCGATAGGGCAGGCGATGTGGCGAGGGTGATCGATGTGGCGGGGCCGGGCAATGTGGCGGGGGTGGAGGAAAGCAGTCCTGGCCAGGGACTGAATGTGGGGAAGGAAGCACAGCTGGGAATCAAACCTGACGTGTCAGTATAGTCTTTATGGGTTCCAAGTCCCAATGTGGGGTTGGAACTCAACCTTCTGACTCAGAGGCAAGAGTTCTACCAACTGAGCCAGACTGGCACACTGTTAGGGATGTGGGCAGGAGGATTGTGGAAATGCTGTTATTATTATTTTTATTGCATTGAGTCGATCTGTGGCAGTCTGGTTCCAGAGCAAGGTGGGTCCACGTACTCTTAATGACAGATCAGACAGTTTGCCTTGTCGGCAGGAACTGGGGGTAGGGATTCTTCCCACTCAGGTCCTGTTGACACTGGGGGCCAAATCTCTTAACAAGTTGGGTGGTGCCAGCTTGACAAGCAGTATAAAGCTTGCCAGACAGTGCTCTCATTGGCAATTGAGCATTTTTAGCCGGATAAACTCCAGCAGTTACACTTAATGCACACTCTGGGGTCCCTAAGCCTTACTATCCTGCCCCTAAAACTTTCCAGGATTAGGCGAGCACCCTCGAGGAGAGAGTGCACACTGCATTCTAGACAAACAGAATACGTAGCACTTTCATTAGTTTGGATATGCTTAAGCATAGTGATGGGTTTCCACATGTATCAGACGGATTAAAAAATATATAGTACCTTTTTACATAATATCTGAGTGCTTCACAAAATGCTTCATTAAGTACTAATGAAGTGAGTATTGCTTTATAGACTGGTTTTACATTCAGATGTTACTTAGCAACTGTTTCTGTGGCCAAATAACCTCGCAACTGCTTTGCAGTGCTACTTGCAGTTTTCCTGTGATGTTCTTCAACCACAAATATACCCAGATCAATACTCAACTCAAAGTCTTCAGTGGGTGATCTCTGAGATGAAAACTGGTTAACAGCTCATCTCATGAGACAAATTAAACCGTCTCAGTTGCTTAATGACTCTAGAGAGCAAAAGGCTGTAGCTGAACAAATGCTTATTGCCCTTTGGATAAAACACTATGAATTTTGAAAACAGCTCTGTAGCATCCTGTCAGGTGTATCACTGAGCGTTCAACCTTGTGTGGTAAGATAATGAATTCCTGGTAGTGCATTAGATGGAAATAACTCGTTACCTAGGATTTGTTACATATAGGATAGCAAATTACGGCGAAGTAAATCATCTGAAGCCCAAGTGTGTTATGGACTAGAAGCACGATCCAGCTTTCTCTCTCTCTCTCTCTCTGTGATTTATAATTGTTCACAGTAGGTATGTTATAATTTTCTCTCCCTTCCTGAAGTCATTTTGATTCTTTTGTTCCTTCTACTGAGATGCAACTCCATGAATGTCTGTTGAAAACAAAGCAAAAAATTGTGGGGGAAAGTTTTAGTGATACTTATTTAAACTCTGAGCTAAACATGAACTTGATTGATAGAGTTAGTGCAATATATTACCAATAGGCTATAAAGTTAATTTCTTATGGCGGGATAAATTGTTTACATGAGCTGAATTGCCAGTTTTGAAATGGATAATCTTTAAGTGTGTTGAAATACTTAGGTCGAAGTTGTTCTTGGAAAAGCATCACCAGACTTCAATGCAAATGAGTCATTCTTATGCCATCTCATTCTTCTGCTTTCCAAAGTTTCAATCAGCTGCAATCTTTTTCAACTTGCAGTAATAACGTGTCTCATCATTGACACAGTGGTACTTCTCTGCATATCAGACTCAAGGCTATTGTGAAGAAAGTGCACGTGATAAATGTGTCATTGATTTCCCTGCAGTTTCTTCAGCTTGGGTGGACTTGTGAGGGCTGCGCTGAGTTCATATGACCAAGCTTGTGGGCACACTTGGCAAACATATTGTGCATGGTTTACAAGCAAATGATTTGAATGTTCCTTGCTTTCTGAAACCTCTTTAGAGTTTCAGGGGCGGGAAAAAAAGGCAAGGAATCCTCATATTTTGTTTTGATCAGCTGGGAGTCTGACACATCCAGAATCAAAAATGATACAGCACAGAAGGAGGCCATTTGGCCTATCAACCCATCAAATCAGGCTGAGGTTTCCAAATATCTATGGCACTTACTCATGGACATTTCTGTGTGTTTGGAATGTAATGTGCACTCTCTTCCCGGAGGAGTGCACCTGCTTACAGAGTATAAGGTGCAGGTTGGCAAGAACCAAGGCTTGGGGACCCCAGAGTGTGCTTTGCAGTACTGCTGGAGTTCAACCAGTTAAAACCATGTAACTTGACTTTGAGAAAACTGTCTGGCAAGCTTCCCTTTGCTTGTCCAGCTCCACATTAGTCATGTGGAGTATAACCACCAGCATCGACTAGTTGTGCTGAATGGTCTTTTTCCATGCTGTGCATTAACAATAATCATACATAAATTGGTTTAGCAGCTTTCACATCGGGAGAACATCCCAAAGAGGTTCACAGGATATACTGTAATATGGAGTTACTGTGTTTTGTTAGTGAACCGCACAGGAATGTCCAAGAAGCAGGCATGGAGCGAGTGGCCAATTTTATTTGGGTAATTGTTGACAAGGATACCAGGAGAAACGCCCTTCTTTTTTTGAATGGAATTTACAATCTATTTCAATTTGTTTGCATAGATTATAAAGGTTCCCAGATCCCAGTCCTCCTCCCTGTATGAATTCATCAATAAACAAAGGAATACTGACCAGCAAGTTTAGCTAGGCTGAATTCTGGTTCCTACATCTGTGTACTGCTAAACCCTAACACCTTAATGACGTATTTTTAAAAAAAATTAGAAAAGATGCATACAAAAGAATACTCTTCTCTCCCCCTTGTTGTGATTAAGCACTCGTGGATCAGGTGCAAGATTAAAGAAAACAAAGCTCTCTCTGTCCTTCTCCGTGAGACGAGCAGCCTGCCCTTTGTGGCTGTGTGATTACGCAGTGCAGTCCCTCCTTCCACACACAGAAAGAGTTTATTGCAAACATGCTTATAGGTAGGGGGGAGTTGGGCGGGGCTAGAAAAAAAATCAGGTAAAGATGGTTCATACAGCATGGTTTTGATGTATTGCTTCCACATTCCTCCTGGACACCTCGAATATGCACCTATTTGTTTTACCAATCATGACGGGTACTATGTGTGGTACTATGTGTGTTATGTGACTTTCGCATTTATCAGTTTAATCTAATAACTAGCCCAGTGTGTGATTTTGATGCACTCTAAAAGATAATCAGATTAACCAGGTAAATTCTATAATGCAAACTCTTACTGAATATTCACCTATAGCTGTTCTCCACAGTGGCTGTTTCTAAAGCTGTAATGCTGTCTAGTTCCATGTTCTTAGCTGATGCTTAAATTACTTTTCTTGTGCTGCTAGCAGCAGAAAATAACTCCTTGAACCAAATGACCTTGAAGTACAATGTTAGACCTCTTCAGGAGATGGGAGAGAGAAAAGAAACAAAAGCACCCCTTTTCGTTTCAGTTAACCAGTGCTATTTGATGCTCATAATGGGTATCAAAATATTGTACTAAAAGGTGCACACAACCACTGGATCACACTCGGTTGTGATTTCCTCCCCCCAGGACCAGCTAGATGAACCCTATATTGAACCCTGTCCATTGCCATGTTTATGGTTAAATAATTCAGCCTCATGAAAATAACGGATAATTAGGTTGCTGGCACCTAAAGCACTGTAAGGGAGAGAGAGAAAGAAACAGAAGCAGTTTAAAAAAAAGGTGGGGGAAACACAGGGTCCCAGTCGGGTGTTTTATAGCCTTTTTTGTTTGGTTAGCATTATTATACAGTGGGCGTACTAGCTCCCGAAGCTGTGAAGTGCTGCAAATGAAATGGTTACAATGATAATGATGGTAGATTTGTGATGTATGTTTTCATATGACTTTTCTGTTTCTTGCATTAGGTGCTGCAGTTGCAGTGCATCTGAAGATGATTTTGCCCTTGGGTGTGTTAATTTTATCTGCCTCACAGATTCACGTCAGTTTCACTGTCTATTTTGTGGCTTTTCTTCATCTTTGGCCAGTGGAAGGCGACCTTATAGCTGTAAGTATGACAGACTATCTCCTTTGTAGAGAACTAGATGGCAGCGTGTGGTACAAACAAGTTTGATTGATGATTATATTAATAATATAAAAATACAATTTACATTTATAGATGATTATTATGTTTTTTGTTGGTGTCAGTGCTTATTTCTTATCCTTTTGCATCTGTCAATGTCCACAAAATAGACACCGAGATAAGGCTCTTTATCAAATGCAAGTCTTATTATATTATTATAAAGTAGCTCGCTGTGTTGCTCCTCAAATTCAAAGAAGTGAAAGTGTGTCTGCATCCCAACCAGTTGCACCTCTTTCCCATAATCAGCTGGAAAGACCAACAATGCAGCCAGCAGTTCGTAGCTGTCTTGAAGTCTTTGAAAAGCATTCAGAAACTGTTTTAATTTCTCAACCAGAAACCACTCACTCCAGAAACTAATTCTGGCAAATTACAACTTTGTATAATCAGGCGGACAGAACCGTGATTTAATGTCTCGTTTGACGCAAAACAGCTCCAACAGTGCAGTGCTCCCCCAAGGCAGAGAGAAAGGCAGAGAGAAAGAAACAGAAGCAATTTAGAAAAAAAGGTGGGGGAAACACAGGGTTGAAGTCCCAGTGGAGTGTCAGCTGAGACTATATGAGTTTCATGTCTCGACGATAGATTACTACATTAATACTAGATGAATACTGTACGCTTGTAGTTCAAAAAAATAGCAATTAATTGTTAATTTGGAAAATTGGAAAAAACAGCAAATACCAAATTTTACCAAATAAAACCTGGAAACTGGCAAACCTAAGTATGAGTACAGGTATTGTGTTGAAGTAGAGTAACACGATTAGTTGTCTTGATGCATATATTTTCAGGGTTCCAATGGCAAAGATAAGTGTGTAATGATTTGTGTGAATTCTAATTCTTAAATTTTCAGCATTCCATTGAAAACAGAACGCAGAATTTTGACGATCTACCATCAAGATTTGGTTACCGCCTTCCTAAAGATGGTCTACAGGTAATGTTCATGTCTGTTTTAATTTAATTTATTTTTTCATCTTCTCACCTGCAGTATAAAATTCCTTAACCTTCCCTGTCTATCCCTCAGACTAACCAAATCTGTGCACAGCCTTGGCCTCAGATTTGATCCCCAGTCATCCTTCCTATCCCACATTCAATCCCTGACCAGGACTGCCTCCCTTCACCTCCTCCACTTCGCCCCATTTTACTTCAGACGCCACTGAAACCCTCATACATGCTTTTGTCACTGAGCTGGGGCTTAGAATCAAGGACAGATTGCAGAGGTAGGGAGCATCTTTTCACAAAAAAGGCTAGTGAAAATCTGGAACTCTCTCTGAAAAGACTGTGGATGCTGGATCCATTCAAATTTTCAATACAGAGGTGGACAGATTGATGTTAGGTAAGGGTATCAATGGATATAGGGCAAAGGGGATCAGCCACGATTCCATGGTGGAACGGGCTTAAGGGACTGAATAGCCTAATCCTGTTCCTATGTTCCTAAAGTTGCTTTGCATCTAGGGTTCTGATGAAGCAGCCACTGCTACCTGCAATCGTATTAGTTTTGTTATTAATCATTGTGGGAAATTTCAGGACAGATACCAGGAAGATTACTTTATTTGGAGGGTAATTCATGACTGGAATAGGTAACCAGTTAGAGTGACTGAGCCCAGGACGATGGCTCAGTAAAATAAAATCTCGGGAGGAGAGTAGGATGAGTAGTCTGGACGGATGAAATGAAATAGACCTTGGGGCTGCCTTGGGGCTGAATCTCTTGTAATCTTGTGTGAGTGGAAATGTGGAGAAATAAATTCTTCTCATTTTCCTTTGCTGAGTGTGCAATTAATGGACTAAATTGAAGCCTCTGTGGTCTTCATAGCACTGAATTTTTCATGTCTAAGTGGCTTCTTTGTTCATGCGATCTGTATTTGTACTTTGTGCCAACAGTTCTAGAAGATGTTTTGTTTGGGATGATTTCCAAGGTCATGGATTAGTCAAATTCAGCCTTGAAATGTTCTCAGATGTTTCTTCATGTGAAAATCATATTATAACAATAATCCTTGTATTTGATATCGAGCCTTATCACGTCTTCAAGACGTCTCAAAGCACTTCACAGAATATACTGTAAAATGAATTGGCCGTATATTTTGTGGGCGAAACGCGGTATTCAATTGTGCACAGCAGTATCCCAGAACCAGTCGTGGATTGAGTGACCAAATTATTATTTTTTTGAAGAAATTATTGCCATCGGAAAAGCGATTTGACTTAACCACCGGGTTCCTACTTACTGCTAGGTTAACAGGGGTGTGTGGAACAAGGAAACTTGCCCAACGTTTCGCCCTGCCTGGGAATCAAACCCAGGTCTTTCGCTTGTGAGGCGAGTGCTCTAACCACTAAGCTTCAGGAATCTAATTCGCCCCAGATGAGACAACAACAAAATTACATTTGTGTAGTGCCTTTCACGTCGGGAGGATATCCCAAGGAGCTGGACCATGCCTACTTCACCAATTGATAGCCCTGTGCGTCTCTGAACACTGCTTCTTTAACTGAATGCCCCCCAGCTCGGCATCATGCTCCACCGCTGTCAAGCGCTCTGGGACGCTACCCTGCATGAGGGGTGCTATATAAATGCGAGTTGTCGTTGTTGAACACGCACTTTTTCTCCACCAGCTGAAGTTATTATTTCCTGTCAGCAGGGGACACTGGTATCTTTATTTTTTTAGGTCTTTTCAGACTATGCGTCGCTCCTATGAAGAGGAGCAGAAGTTTCATGTGTACTTGATACCTCGCATGAGGTAGAGATTCAAATGGATAAATCCGTGTCTCAAGCAAATAAATCTTGTGATTCGTCTTGTGAAGGTGGGTGGGGGGAGGATGATGCATGCCATCGATCCTCTTTCCTAACCCCACGTTAATTATTTTCTCCCCAGATTATGTAAACAACAGAGACTTGTGTGCAGCCAATTTCCAGGCATCTGCTGATACCAATTCTGTACCAGATAGAAAATGAGTGGATTGAGGTCATTAAAGTGGATTCAATGACCTGAATCCACCAATTTTCATGCACATTAGTGACGCTTTCCTGTCTTTGCACTAACCATCGCAGGGTAGACTTCAGAGGTAGGAACATCTGCCTGTCTTTCCTTGTCCCTTGAATTAGGACAGTTTTAGTACCTCCACTATTCTCTGCAGTTTTTTTAAACCAACCCTCTTTGTAATATAAGACATAGGTTTATTCAAACCTATGCACTCATAAATTTTCATTGCGTGAATGACATTCCCTTTAAGCTAATGACAGTTCACAGAGTTAGCAAAACAAAAGCCAATTAGATAGTTTGCTCACGTACACATGTAATGACACACAACTAACATTGAGGAAAAACTATAAACACTACTTAAAACACTATAGCGAAGAGATGTCTTTAAAACTGTATTTCTTTTACTTTGTGTTACATTTAAAATAAATCAGGACATAAGTCATAGAAAGGTCAGTTTCATAGTACTGTAGTACTAAATGGCATTTTCACAGCCTGCCAATAATTTTTGTTTCAATGAGGTAAAAAACATTATATTTTAGAATTCAAGTTAAATATTGCGACTCAGTATTATCCATTGAGTCTGCATCATTTTTGGATGACTAGGAATTGTGCAGTCAGAGTAATGATTCATGCAAATTGGTATATTTGAGCGTGGACACAATCACAATGGACATTTCCAGGTATAGTATTATGTTCCTTTTTTTTACGGTGTGGCTCTCAAAGTGCACAGTGTTAACTTAAATGGCCTTTGTGGCCAGTTGAGTTTGAAATCCTGTTGTAGAAGGACGAGCTCAAAAATCACACCAAGTTCCTCATCAAGAGGTTGTAGTAACATGATATATCCTGATGGGTGCAGTGTTGGTTTATCTTACTAGGTAAGATGTGTGCGTATTTACCAATAAACCTATACTATATAATTGCACCTTTTGTGGTGTAAGGACTGAGTTGTTTGTAAAACACCAAACTGATCTTTGAATTGGTTGTTAATTATGGAAATATAATCATCTACTCAAAAAAATTAAAGTACATTAAAAAGCAGCTGAATCAAAGCTATCGCTTCTATTAAGATTTTTTTTGTTAAAGGAATAAACAATCCAGGAGGTTTAGATAAACCTCTCAGGATTGTTGGCAGAAGAATCAGGTTAGAAGAAATTTCTCCCAGAGGGTTCTTAGCACAGGTGGCTATTGAGGCTGTATCAATAGAATTATTCTGAAGCATCTGGATATGCACCTGAGCAGTAAACACATTAAGGGATATAGGGACAGAAATGGGATTAATAAATACAAGGCTGACTTTAAAAATAAAGTGGTAGCAGTGACAAGACATGATGGCCGAATGCCAGCATCTATGACATCCTATAACAAAATTAGTTTGGTTTGTGAAAGTTATCTACATCTTCCTCCTCAAGAAAAACTTTTGAGTTATTAACTAAATATCACTTTAAGAGCACTTATTTTATATGCATAATATAAGTCAGGTTATTTATAATACCACAGCATTGGTATTCCATAATATTGAGTCTTGTCTGTCACCTTTACCTACTGTAAAAGCCAATCCCATGATTTGACAATTAGTTTTCAGTCACAGGATTGAGTTGCATCTCTCAGCAAGTCATATAACGACTGTGAAGATGTAGCCCTGGATTGTATTGTAAATAGAAATTTGTACCCAGGCACAGAAACTTGTGCTAATTACCAATTTGGAAACAGCAGGATGTGAGAATTTTAATTTAGATGTTTGGAAGCAGAGAATATTGGTAATTTACCAGTTTAAAGTACAGAAATACTTACACTTACAGTTCTATTTATTGTAGTACTGCAATATGTTCTGGATTTATGATGTGGGATATGAAGTTCCATTGGATCCTGTGATTAAATTTATGAATAAGGGAAAAGGTGTGGGGGGACCAGAGGGGTAAAAAGCCATTCAGAAATTGGCACAGCCTTTACTCTACACAGAAGCTGATGAAAATTAGTTATCATTGCTTAGTGATGCACCAAATCCCTTGCATATGGTAACCACCTTCCAGCAGCTCCATCAATCTATTCTACCCAGCCCTAAAACTATTGTTTTGGGTCCATAAAATTCATGTTACAATGGGTCCGTGGTATAAAATGGATGTCAGTCGTGCTTCCTGTGACAGAGCACAAGAAGCCAATATTCTCTGATTTCAGGCATCAAAGTTGAAATTTTCAAAGCCCGTTGATTCCAAATTGGTAATTATAACACAGTTTTGTGGCCTGGTGTACATTTCCATTTACCTATCGGGCAGCTGAAATTTGTGAGAGCAATCACAGTTAACCAGCCAGACGTGTGCCAAACCTCTGCTGCATAATATTAGTGACATGATCTCACACAGGAATAATTCTGTTTGACCATTTGTCCTTGCTGGGAGTCTTCTTCTCCACCGCCTCTTCTCTCAGCTCCACTTTCAAGGTTCTGTTCATGACTGGGTTCACTCTTTCCCGTCGTCTCCACTTTGTATCTGCAAACGGCTTCTCCTGCCCTTGCACAGTGACGTTCCTCGGGGCTCTGTCCTCTTTAATCTTTAAATGCCCCCGCTCAGTAGTGTCACCTGCAGACATGGGGTAATTTCCGCACATCTGCCGACGACACCCAACTCCAATCTCTCTGCCTTCACCCTAGACTCCAGGACACTGCTGTCTTGATGGATTGTCTCAGATATCAAGTCCTGGATGAAAGCCAACTTTCTCCAATTAAATGTTGACAAAACAGAGACCCTCCTGCTTGGCTCCAGTCAGCGGCTCCACCTCAGGCGCTGTCAGCATCACTATTCATGAATGCTCTCTACACCTCGCTGAGCCAGTACGGAACCTTGGTGTCTTGTCCGATCATCATTTGTTTTTTAAATTCCACAACCATGCCATGACCCATTCTGCCTTCCCCCACCTCCGCAACATTGCCCGGCTCCATCATTGCCTTTCCCCTCAGGCCACCTTC